CTGCTGCTGCTGCTGCTGCTGCTGCTGCTGCTGCTGCTGCTGCTGCTGCTGCTGCAGACCTGGAGGAAATGCGCTCGAAGTGGCTGTCTTACCACCGCGGCGGAGTGGCCACGGCAAGTGTACGGACAGAACTGAAAGACTTAATTGCTTTTGCTGTTTGCGCGGAGTTGGATTTGGACTTGGAGGAGTTGTGGCTGGACAACTCCAAGATCAGCAGCAGCAGCAGCAGCAGCAGCAGCAGCAGCAGCAGCGCAGCAGCAGCAGGCGCACTCGGATACAGGTGGCTCCTCTTTCCCCAGGAGCCCCTCGGCTCCGACCTCCACCTCCGCACCCTCGTCCTTGCTCTCGGTCCGCCCCCCCTGCTGCTGCTGCTGCTGCTGCTGCTGCTGCTGCTGCTGCTGCTGCAGCGAGGAGTGCTGCTGCTGCTGCGGCGGCAGCGAGAGGCGCTGCAGCAGCAGCAAGCGTCCCTGCTGAACTGCCGAGGGCGACTGCTGCTGCTGCAGCAGCACGAGCGGCAGCAGATGCTGCAGCAGCTGCGGAAGCAGCAGCCCGTGCTGCTGCTGCTGCAGCAGCAGCAGCGTAGCCTAGACTCCTCCTCCCAATCCTGCTGCTGCTGCTGCTGCTGCTGCTGCTGTGCTGCAGAGTCGAAGGTTGCTGGACTGCTGCGGCTTTTACAGGAGACCCAGGCGTCTCTGAAGGAGTCGGGGCTTTCCTGTGCGTACAGCCAAACCCTAAACCCTAAACCCTAGCCCCAAACCCTAAACCCTAAACCCTAATTTCTGTGCGTGTCCTGCTGCTGCAGTTCCTTTCAGCGCCGCCGACGGCGCCGTAGAAGTCCAGTTCAAAGCCGCCTATACAGACGACCTCACAAACCCTCAAGTCTTCAGCTGCACAGGTTAGGGTTTAGGGTTTAGGGTTTAGGGTTTAGGGTTTAGGGTTTGGGAGTCGTGCAGCCCTTTTCCTTCGGCGCCTGTGCCTAGCGGATTGTTAGCTGCAGCCGGGGGCTTCATTCTTCACTCCTGAGGGCCTGTGTCCCAGGCCTGGGCCCTAGGGTTTAGGGTTTAGGGTTTAGGGTTTAGGGTTTAGGGTTTAGGGTTTGGGGTTTGTTCGCGTGCAGCAGTAACGCAGGGCTCGGGGGTTTCGCTGGGGTCCCTCGAATACGACGCAGTGGAAGTTGAAGGAGGAAAAATGTTTTCAACTCCCCAGATAACCCTGGGGGCTGACAGCGGCCTTTGCGGTAACAGGGTTTAGGGTTTAGGGTTTAGGGTTTAGGGTTTAGGGTTTAGGGTTTGGGGTTAGGGGTTTGGGGTTTGGGGTTTGGGCGTGAGGGTTCAGGCGTAGGGTCTGGGGATGAGGGCTGGGGTGCGGGCCTGTGCAGGGTTAGGGTTTAGGGTTTAGGGTTTAGGGTTTAGGGTTTAGGGTTTAGGGTTTGGGGTTTGCGGGTGGCGCGCGCAGGACTGTTGCTGCTGCGGGCGCTGCTGCAGCGCTGCAAGGGTTTAGGGTTTACGGAGGTGCGGCTGGCGGTTTCGAGTGCAGATATAATTCTCTTAAGAGCTGCTGTTGCAGTAGGGTTTAGACCCTCGGGGCTTTTTGCTGCTAAGGGCACAGTTTTCCAAACCCTAGTTGCAAACCCTCAGCTTCCGGAGCCCCACGTTGCTGCTCTCAAGCAGAAGGCCGCAGCCCTCGGTAAACCCTAAACCCTAAACCCTAGGCCCTAAACCCTAAGCCCTGAAAATCCCAGCTCCTGCGCAGCCCTCAACCCTGAGATAAGCCCGAAACCCTAATTCAAGCCTAAACCCTAAACCCTAGCAAACCCTAAACCCTAGGGCGGCCCTAGGGTTTGCTTCGGCGCAGCAGCAACGGCCGGCGGCCGCGCGCCGCCGCACCTTGCCAGGCGCCCTAGGGTTTAGGGTTTAGGGTTTAGGGTTTAGGGTTTAGGGTTTATCAGGGTTTAGGGTTTAGGGTTTAGGGTTTAGGGTTTAGGGTTTGGGTGCAGAGCGGATGTCGACGTTTTTGTCGAAGTTGTACTTCCAAGCGCTGGCGCTGCTTTGCCTAAATGGAGAAAAAGTGAAAAGTCCAAAAAGAGAAGAGTCGGGTTTGTTGGCTTTGCCCCCAGTTGAGGTGTCTGTACACCCGGCGGCGGGGCCCCACAGCAGCAGCAGCAGCAGCAGCAGCAGCAGCAGGCGGAAGCGCGGGCTGCTCGGGTGTACAGACACCTGCCCCCTCTCCAGAGCCATCGCCGGACTCAGTGCTGCCTTTTTGGTCATTATAATTATAATAGCATTAAGTCGGCGGCGCTCGAAGAGCAGCAGCAGCAAGGCGGCGCTGCAGCAGCCAGCAGCAGCAGCAGCAGCAGCAGCAGCAGCGCAGCAGCAGCAGCAGCAGCAAAACGCAGTCGACGACGCAGCAGCGAGCTGGTACTTCCAACCCCCGAAACACTGGAGGGAAATTGAAAAGGCAACTACGGAGTCCGAGGGGTGGGCAGCAGCTCTGGCGGACTCCAACAACTAGCAGCAGCAGCAGCAGCAGCAGCAGCAGCAGCAGCAGCAAAAGCTGCTGCAGCAGCAGCAGCAAAGGCAGGAGGGAACGACGGAGTCAGAGGGATGGCGGGCGGCAGCCCCAGCCGACTCAAGCACCTGCCGGCAGCAGCAGCAGCACCACCGCAGCAGCGAAGCTGCAGCAGCAGCAAAAGCAGCAGCAAAACCGCAGCAGCAGCAGCAAAAGCAGCAGCAAAACCGCAGCAGCAGCAGCAAAAGCAGCAGCAAAGACACAAGGGGACCACTGAGTCTGAGGGATGGGCGGTAGTAACCCAACACCACTCAAGCAGCAGCAGCAAGGACAGCAGCAGAAACGGCAGCAACAGCGGCAGCAACAGCAGCAGAAGCAGCAGCAGCAGGAAAAGCAGCAGCGGCAGCAGTAAAGGCAGCAGCAGGAAAGGTGGCAGCGGCAGCAGCAAAAGCAGCAGCAAAACCGCAGCGGCAGGAGCAAAAGCACCGGCAGCAGCAGCTGCTGCTGCTTTTGCTGCTTCCAGCTGCGTCCCCCCTCCAAGCAGCAGCAGCAGCAGCAGCAGCAACAGCAGCAGCAGCAGCAGCAGCAGCAGCAGCAGCTTGAGTTTGCCGCGTGAACAGGATTCGGGCCTTTCCAGAGACGGCTGGAGAGTCCCGAGTTGGGGAATAGAAAAGCTGAATGGAAAATAAAATAAAAAAAAGAAATAAAAGAAAAAATAAAATAAAAAGAAATAAAAAAGAAATAAAAGAAATAATAAAATGTAAATCGGCGCTTGGGTCTTGCAAAAAGGGTTTCCGATTTGTTTCTGCAATTTGCCGTTTGCAGCAATTTGGGTGAAGTTGAATTTTGCGAATTTTGGATTAAATTGGACGAAATTGGAAAAAAAGGAATTAAAATGAATTAAATTTAATTTCTAATTTCAATTTAATTGAAATTCGGCGCAAAAAGAACCAAAATGGCGCTCGAAATTCCAAAAGTTTGAAATTTCGAAAAGTGCAAAAGGGAGTTCAGCGGCAGGTGTACGTACACCCCAAACACGTGCCGATCTGTGCATTTGAATTTCTTTTCTTTTCGCTTCACTTCATTCATTTCTTTCCACTTCTTGAGTTCATTCTTGAGTTCATTACTTCATTATTTTGATTATTTTTCATTTTCATTTGCATTTCCTTCAGTCTTCGCTCCTCTCCGGCCCCTTCGCTTCCTTTCTGCATCTCCACTTATTTCCATTTATTTCCATTTATTTCCACTCTTCTTTGTTTGTATTTACTTTATTTGCATTTATTTGTATTTGGGAAAAAAGAACTTTCTTGAAATGAACACAACTGTACAGTTTGAGCGAAAGTGCAAAGAGTTGCGTTCGGGTGTACGTACACCCGAACGCCCCCAAGTAGCCGCACTGTGGAGTGTCTGTACAGGACGTTTTGGAGCTCTTTTTGAACCCAAAACGCGAATTAAACATTCAAATAAAAGACACTTTAATGGCAATTCTTTTTATTTGTTTCCGCCACCTTTTTGCTTCTTTTCCCGGGCCTTCTGCTGCAGTTTTTGCGCACTTGCGGGTGTACGTACACCGCAGCTAGGTGCCAAAAATGCACTCCGGAGGCTTGAATATATATTGGAATATATATATATTAATTTTATGTAAAATAAATAAATATATTATATATAATATATGTATTGTGTGTGTTTTTGCATGCATTATGTATATTATATATATTATATTCTGTAACACATCACATATATATGTAGACCGTGTAAATCCATGAAATATATATATATTTAAATCTCCATAAGATGTACATATATTTAATACAAAATAAATAATAAATAAATAATAAATAATAAATAATAAAATATACTTATATGTACATAACAAAACATTCATGTGGGCACTAATATATATATAATATATATATATATATATATATAATACATATATAAACACTGCACAATAGCATATATACTTATATATATATATATATCTTATTTGCAATTAAAGACAAACAATTTGCAAAAGAAACTAAAATGAATCAAAAGAACTTGTGGTGTATAAGGGCTGCGTTGGGTAAAAACACTTTCGTTTTGCTCGGAGGGTTTCGCGGCTTTTGAGGTGTACGTACACCCCACGGATGGTGGGAGGGGGAGAAGCGCAGGAAAATGGAATTAAATAAAATGGCAAAAGAATTATAAAAGACAAAATTAATTTAATAAAAATGGAATTAAGTAAAATGGCAAAAGAATTATAAATGATAAAACTTAATTTAAATAAATGCTGCATCAAAAAGCCCCAGTAACGTCCATTTCCATTTCCCCCTGCTGGATGTACATACACCCCAAACGCATGCGTTCTCTGCACTGGCAGATAAAACATTTCTTCAAATCTTTAAATCCATTTATTCCATTTAATCCATTAAATCCATTAAATCCTTTTAATCCGTTTAATCCATTTAATCCATTTAATCCATTTAGTCCATTAAATTCATTTATTCCAT